CCGGTCTCCAGTGCGCCCTCACTTTCAGCCTGAGTGACGACTCTCAAATATAAACCAATCCTACCGGCAATTCTCAGCTCTGTGCTAGACCAGTGTATGCCCACCCCCGTCCAGGCTCCCATGGGGGAATATCTGCATTTTAGTTTCAAACCTCTTGCTATAAACGTTCTTGTATTAATCTCAATTCATCAACCACTCCATTCCTCACTTCCTACATTCAGGCTACAATATTTTACATTGAGTTTGTATAATGTTTATGACATTGCCTCTTCTGACCCCTGGGGTCAAACTCCTCATGTTAGTTGCTGTAAATGTCTGTTTTTACATGTACCCATGCACCCCCCCCCCCTAAAAACCCCATAGCTCCCTTTCTCTCACTGACATTAATAAGCAAGTTGAGAGCCAGCTCTGTAGGGTCCCCATAGATCCCTGTGACAGCTGTCACACACGGTGGTCTTGCAGGTTGCCTTGGCAACACATACATTGCTTTTTTGGGCTTTTATTGTACAGTACTATAAATTTTGTTTTGAGTTTTATAACTCTGTAGCATTTTAGATAATGTTGCGTTGTGCTCTCTTGCGCAGAGTTGAAGAACTATAGATGCAAAAAATATTATATATAACAGTAATTCCCAATTATTGAAAATACAAATCAAAACCACAATGAGATACCACCTCACACTAGTCAGAATGGCTAAAATTAACAAGTCAGAAAATGACAGACGTTGGCGAGGATGCGGAGAAAGGGGAACCCTCCTGCACTGTTGGTGGGAATGCAAGCTGGTGCAGCCACTCTGGAAAACAGCATGGAGGTTCCTCAAAAAGTTTAAAATAGAGCTACCCTATGACCCAGTAATCACACTACTGGGTATTTACCCTAAAGATACAAATGTAGTGATCTGAAACATATGCACCTGAATGTTTATAGCAGCAATGTTCGCAATAGCCAAACTATGGAAAGAACCCAGATGTCCATCAACAGATGAATGGATAAAGAAGATGTGGTATAAATATACAATGGAATACTATGCAGCCATCAAAAGAAAAGAAATCTTGCCATTTGCAATGACGTGGATGGAACTAGAGGGTATTACGCTGAGCAAAATTAGTCATTAAGAGAAAGACAATTATCATATGATCTCCCTGATATGAGGAATTTGAGAGGCAGGATAGGGGTTTGGGGGGTAGGGAAGGAAAAAATGAAACAAGATGGGATCAGGAGGGAGACAAACCATAAGAGACTCTTAATCTCACTAAACAAACTGAGGATTGCTGGGGGTGGGGAGGGCAGGGATAGGGTGGCTGGGTTATGGACATTGGGGAGGGTATGTGCTATGGTGAGTGCTGTGAAATGTGTAAGCCTGGTGATTCACAGACCTGTACCCCTGGGGCTAATAATACATTATATATCTATAAAAAAGTAAAAATAAAAATAAAATAAAGGGAAAAAAAGATAAAAACAATTCCCAATTGTTAAGAAATATACATTATTAAAATTTATCCCTATACCCAATAGCTAGTAGAGTTCTCTTTCAGCAAGTGTCAATAAGTACTTAAAAGGCGAACGCATGTATGATTCATAGAGCTATCAAGAGCACAGGCTTTAGAAAGTAATGGATGTGAATTTAAATCTTAGAACTAAAACAGTCAGTCTGTGTAATCCCGGACAGAGTTCTTGATTTCTCTAAGGTTCACTTTCCCCCACGTCAGGAGACTTGAGCAGCCTGGTATACACCACTCTTGAGTGAGTGGCTCAGGCAAAGCCCAGGAAAGAGTCACATTAACTTGGTGCAAGCAACGTGAATGCTCAGGCGGGCGGGGGCATGCAGTCCTCCAGGCCTTCACGAGAGGCTCAATGAGCTCCCAGCATGGACAGGTGTCCTCAATACCACTTCTCCTTTTTATAGGGATTATAGCAGAATGGCCTTGTGTATCTGAAGAAAATCCAAGCTGATCTTGGATCTGGGCTACTCAGGGGAGTTGCAGACAAAATCCTACAGCTGTGTTCATGGGCGGAGTGCACCTGCAGCTCTTCCTTCTGAGGACAAGGATTGCAGATGGTCCCACCCATTTCTGTACCAGCAGCCCAGAGCAAGCCACAGGGCTCATTCAGCAAACAACTCTGGTCCTCTCCTCTTGCCCCTGCATAAAATGGTAATATTCAGGCCCCTACTTCACTGTGTTATTAGGACTCGAATCCGAAAATGCCTAGAAAGAAAATACCTGATATATATTAACTATTTCATAAATGATGGCTTAGTAAATTCATGCTTTAGTAAATTCATATTCTGCAAGGCTGATACCATGAACAGGTGGAGAAGAGAAGTGTAACCCAAGAATTAAAGTCCATTTGATCAAAGACCCTCCCTTAAGGCACTCACACCCAACCCATCTTGAGGTTATTTTAGGTTACCTATGAGAATACTTCTCCATTGTTTATATGTTTTTCTCTTATCCTAAATTATACAACAGAGTCCCGTCATACCCTTTAACTGTAGGTGTTTACGTTTGAATTAAAATCTTGTTGGCCCTCGGGACTGCTCCTTCAGCAGTGGGGCAGGGAGAAGAGGAAGCTGATTAAATGTGTGGACAATGCCTCACTGCAAGGGACAGCAACTGAAGGGGCAGGAAGAAGACTGTTCCTCAGGAACACAGATCAATGAAAACGGAGGGAGATCTGAGTCACCGTGGAGCACACGTCGGAGAGAAACCAAAGGAACCCATTCCTCAGCAGTCACGTCCATGGGGACATCACAAGGGTACTTTCGTTGTGGAAAAACAGTATCAATAGTCTTGTTCAACTGATGTTGAGTTGACATCCCAGACTGAGGGTGGATTAAGTGGGGGAAATGGCCTCATATTTCTAAGACTCTCTTAGATGTGTGATTTTTAGGATTAAGTTAGAATGCCTATAAAAACCCTACCTGACAGAGAGTAAGTGCTCGAGAACCGTTAGCTATGTTTATACTGCGATAAATGAATATTTTGCAAGGCGCATGCTCCGAGTAAGGAAAGAATGCAACTAGAAATACAAAGCACTGGAAATTTGTTTCGCTAATTATCCACCGTGTAGCATGGGCTTTGCTAAACTCTATGATCCAAAGACGAGAAGACAGACTGTCCAGGTTCTGCGTTCCAGAACTGCACTTTGGGGGGGGGGTATGTTTTTAAAGGACGATCTTATTCAAATGGATCGTTGCAAAGGAGGCACTAACTCATGATAGAAGAGGCTACGCTGAAGCAGTGAGGCCAAGAGATTGAACGGGCAGACAGTGAGAAATGGGCTGCCCATGGCTACTCTCTGGGATTTAACAGCTGGACGGAGCCCGAGCTTGCCCTTGGGCTCTGGAGTCGGGCAGACCTGGCTGCAAACCCAGCTCAGTCACTTCCCATCCGTGTGGCTTGAGCAAGCCACCTGCCCTGAGCTTTTAGCCACTGTGTTTGCAAAATCAGAGAACGGAGTAGTTATCCTAAAACATGTATCCAGACTTCTAAAAAAAATTATAAACTACATGTTAATAGAATGTTAGACATATAGTAAGCACTCAAGAAAACATTGCTATTTCCAGCATTAAAAAATTAATGCTATTGGGGGATGCCTGAGTGGCTCAGTCAGTTAAGTGTCCATCTTTGGCTCAGGTCAGGATCCCAGGGTTCTGGGATCAAGCCCCACAACAGACTTTCTATTCAGTGGGGAGTCTGCTTCTCCCTCTCACTCTCCCTCTGCATTTGCCTCTTTCTCTCTCAAATAAATAAATAAAATCTTTTAAAAAATTACACTATTAATATTAGTATTACTGCCATCATTATTATTATTATTACTATTGATATTCATACTGTGATCACTATTCTGTAGGCCCTGGCAGGAACAAAAGGCTGGTCAGCTGACCGTTGATGTTGGGAGGGGGACGGTTTGGGGTGCTGGGAACATCACCAACCAGTGTAAGGAGACCCGCAGTCTGTACACCGTGATTTGTCTGTCTGACAGAGTTTAGACAACGTCAACAAGTTGCCTGCCCCCTGCATGACATGCCTTCCCTTCCTGCAAATGAAGTGAACCAGAACCTAACTTGACTGACATCAAAAAGTGATAAAATGTGTGTGAAAAAAGCTTTCATGGCTAAAAAATAAAGGTTCACTAGAGGAAGAATGATAGAGAAGAACCGAACAGTCCTGGGCTCCTCTCCAGATTCTTCCGTGTGTTAGGCGTGAGATGCTGGGCAAATTACGGAATCTCTCCAAACCTCAGACTGCTCATTTGATAATTGTAGATCATATTAACTAACTCATTTTTCTATAATAAAGAAGCATCTAACAGGATGGTGTGGCTTGAGGTAGGCTATCAATAACTCTTAGGCCCCTGCCCCACAAAAAGATATAATAAAACGCTTCATTAAGAGGAGACTAAGTGAAATCTGTGGTTTCTATCATTTTTTATGTGAAAGTATTTCAAACACATTTTATATTTTGGCAGAGGTCTTTACCTTTTCTATGAATTTATGCCGAAGGGACAGCACGTTTATAAGTGAGTTATGTGGCGTATTATTTTTAGGCTGGAGAGACAAACATTCTTTCCAGTCCTGACATTTGACTGGTCATACTAAATGGAACACCGTACCTTTTATTAAATTCAGGGTGCCTAAGTGAAACATCATCAAATATAGTCCATGGCGGGGAAACTCTTAATATTTGAAAGTCAGGGTCTAGCTAATAATATTAGATTTGGGTAAACGGACTCACACATGTCTATAAACAGGTACCTGTGTCTGTTTATCTCTGTATGGATCGATCTATCTATAAAATGCTTCCATGTCTGATTTAAAATATAAAGCCAAACGCTAAAGTCAATATTGCCATGTATGGGCACAAAAAAAGCTTTCCGCAAAAATCATTCCTGTTTTTCTCTTTACATAGCTATAAAGTCAATTTCAGCGTACAGGTTGGCTTTCAAAACATCTCCTCTGAAAACTATGCCAGTGTGATGGATAAACAAACACTTACTGTATGCACATCCGAACACCTCGATCCGCATTCCGATTCTGCCCCTGGGGTTCCACTCTAAAGGAATGAAGCGCAGAAATCGGGCTTTGATGGAAGGCTGGAGTCTATAGTAAACAACACTGTCGGCATTTGCATTTCCTGAAAAGCCCTAAAAGAAAAGGGAAGGAAGGAAATCAACGCATCTGGAGAATATCCGTTTCACCCCGGGACCTCGAATGTCAATGAACAATGCCTAACGTGCTTTTTTCCTGTAAAAATGGCTACCTGCTTCAAGAAGATCATATTACCAGTTACACAGGAAAGCCCGCCCATCCACAGAAGGTACGACTGACCAGGCTTCTCTTTATACTGACAGTAGCTGAAATTCCACCTTCCCCATTAAACCAGCTTTCAACCATTTCAGCCTTTCAACCTCAATAAACTTTGTTTCTATAAAGTTCAGATTAAACTTAAAAGGTATTAACATTGTGAACAGCACCCAAAAAATTTGAGAAAGTCTTCTTCCAGTATTCGAAAAGTAGGGTCTGATTCAGCAAAGACGTTGCCTGTATCACCGATGAATGATAAAACTTAGGACGTTTCTGTTGTTTCATTTTCTCCTCTTATTACCATGTACAAGAGTATCTCCCAGCACTCCATGCAGAACACTCTGATACAGACTGTTCAACCTCATGGAGCTGCCAGATACGCACATTAAGAATTGCTACACATCAAAGTTATTTAATAAAAAAATAATAAAACCAAAGCACCTGTATTTAAAAACAATGGTTAAGGGAAATTGGAAGCAATAATAATTTGGAAAGACCTACAATTAGACTTACAGACTCTAGAATTTGAAAGCTAGAAAGACCTTGAGAATGGTGCTAAGCTAGCACAAAGTGCAGATGAGGAAATTAAAGGTCAAAGAGGTAGAAAATAAGGGTGGTTCAGTTGGTTAAGCATCTGCCTTCAGCTTAAGTCCTGATCCCAGGACCCTGAGATGAAGCCCCGCTGACTCCCTGCTCAGCGGGAAGCCTGCTCCTCCCGCTCAAATAAATAAATAAAATCTTAAAAAAAAAAAAAAGGTATAAAATAACCTTCTGGCGTTTGTAAAACTACATAAGGGGAGACCCAGAGCTACCTTCCTTCTGCCATAGCAGGGTGCATCTGCCTAACACAGAGCTCGCCTGCAAAACTGGCATAGGACTGTGCCTAGCATCAGAGCGGCCCTGTTTACACCTTCACGCCCAAGGGTAAGGCTTCATAGGGGAAAATGTTAGAAGGAAGCAGAAGTTGTTCTCAATAATTTGTATTTTTTATCTCTTCTCCTTCTCTGCTACCCATCCTCCCTTCCTCTTACTTCTTTTTCTCCTTCTCCCCCTCCCCCTTGTTTTATGCTTTGTTCCCTCCTCTTCTATAACAATCAGCATATGCCACAACAAAAAAGCGATCTATTCAGGCTCTCCATAAGTCTGTTGACCATGACTGGGCCAGCACATAAGGTCAACCTCATGGACGTCACACAAGGTGAAGGTGAACACCTTAGGAATACCAATACACAGGAGTCTGCTCATTTTCCTACTTTTCTTTCTAGTTTACAAATATCCCCTTACCAGCATTTACCGAAACATTTTTTTAAATGTTTGGTGTTTCATAGTCAAATTGATTTGATTTGACTCCCCTTATCAATCAGTTCTCTACCTGCTGCCCTCCCCCACCCTCACCAATACCCCCAGGCACCCAGCTCTCAGGCTCACGTGCCACAGGCCTTCCGTGATGGTACTTCCAAATGATATCCCAAATCAGGGCCTCTGTCTCCATCTCAGCTAGGACCACCCAGTTGCACAAAGCATTACCTCACCTGAACTGCCTCAGTGACCTGCTCCTCACCACTTTTGTTCTCCTGCTCCCTGTCGCCATCCCCAACCACAGGCCCCATTTCTTCCCCTCTGAGCAGTCAAGAATATCTTGAAGGGCAAATCAAACCACGTCACCCACACCTACTTAGAACAAAATCCAAGCTCCTTATCAAACACACAGTCTTTGACAACACCCTCCATTAGCTTTCACTACACTGTACCCCCCGGAACAACCAGGCTCATTCCTGCTCGGAGCCTTCACAGCCGCTATGCGTACTACTCTGAAAGTTCTCTGTACAGCCAGTCCCCTTGACATCTCAGGACTTGGTCAAAATATGACCACCTAAGTCAGACCCTTTCTGATCACAGTTTCAAAAGCAGTGTCCCTGGCATACCCCTGCATCTGACCTTCCTGTTTTATCTTGTTCATATTACTCATTATTTGGGGTCTTCTTTTGTTTGACTACCTTGTTTGTTGATCTCATCCCACTAGAAGAACGGCTCCATCAAAGCAGGGACCTGCAGTGGCCTCCATCCACAGTACCCAGAACAGCACTAGGCTTGAAGTGGTTCACAATAAAAAATTTGTCAGATGTGTACATTTGGGAAAGACTGTGCTAAAAACAAAATAAAGTTCAACAAGTTTCTCGATTACAGACTCTCTCAGAGCATGTCAAACGTGAATGTGCGTATTGCTTTGTGTCTCCCGTGACCAAGACCGTCATCCTATTAGGCCCACATTCCTACCTACTGTTTCCTACAACACAAATAGGAGAACACTGTTTAAACCCACAGACATTTTAACTCTGATAACCAGACCCTTCTAGAAAGCCCCATTCCTTCCACTAGTCAAAATTTTACACTCTGGGCACTGGTGTGTGTGTGTGTGTGTGTGTGTGTGTGTGTGTGTGTATGTGTGTGTGTGTGTATGTGTGTGTGTGCGTGTTTACCTGCTCTTCAAACCAGGGTGATGTGCATCCAGAGTAGCAGCCCTGGTCCATCACCATTCAGTCCTAACCAGACGCTCTTACACTTCAATTCTCTTTTCCTGGGCGCCACTGGCAGGCTAATACAATTTTGATTTCTTTCAGCGAACAGCTAGATGATGAATCAGATAACCCTCCTAAAGATCTCACATTTTTACAACATTAATGTACGTTCACAGATTTAGACAGATGCCACCTGATGATCTCAACATCTTAAGGGGTTAGGAAAAAAGATGCATAGTGGCAGCAGCAACAGACAGGTAAGTGGAATGGGGAGGTCTACCAATGGCAATCTTTCACATTTTACCTGATCGATTTATGAGTTATTTAAATTTTAAGAACATAAGGAAGAAATATACAATGCTTAGCTTGTATATGTAATAAAAACACCTTGGCATATTCAAAATTTTAAGCAGATTTTTCTTACAAAGGGCAGGGGAGATTGTGAGGTAGAGGGTAACGGATTTTTAGCACAGTCCAGCCATACCTGGATTTTTAAAACTGAACATGTATTAATTGTATAATAATTAGTAAAATGAAGTAAGAGGGAGACATAAGAAGTGTGTGTACACAGTGACAGAGCAGGCAGAATATTTCGTAATGCTCTGAGTACATCAAATTTAACTTTCTAGTATCAAGGTAATTGGGGGAATATGCAACATTACTATTAATTAAATATTATTTAACTGAATTGTAATATATGTTTGTCTTGCTCCCCATGTTGAAATTTTTTCAATACATAAGATAATAAAGATTCTGCTGTGGAATTCTGTATTTAATGGGCATTCAGTGTTAATGAATGAAGCGTAGGGTTGATGTTACATTACTTGTAAGTTAACAGTTCTAGGCATATTATCAGGTTTCAAACGTATTTCCTTTGCCTAAGAGATATTTCTCAATTTGATGTGAAGATTTTTTTTATACCATCACAATTCCTAAAAGAACACATGGATTTAGGGGCACCTGGGTGGCTCAGTTGGTTAGGCATCCTACCCTTGATTTTGGCTTGGGTCCAGATCTCAGGGTTATGGGATCAAGCCCAGTGTCAGGCTCCAGGCTCAGTGCAGAACCTGCTTGGGATTCTCTCTCTCCTTCTCCCTTGCCCCTCCCCCTGCTCATGCTTTCTAAATAAATAAATACATAAATAAATAAAATAAATTTCTAAAAAGTACACATGGATTTCAATTGTTCTTTTAAAAACATAATTTTACTATGTGGCTGTTTGTCTTCCCTTTTATTATATAGATTCTGAATTCTGGTGTCTGTCAGAATTACCTGAGGAGCTGTTTAAAAGTGCAATTTCTAGATCCTCCACCTCATGCACTAAATCTGTGAGGGGGGCCTGGAATCTGCATTTCTAATGTATACCAAGCCCATTTGTGCTGTTGGTCTTTAGCTGGCTTTGAAATTTTTTCTGGCTTGTGGATACACCATGCTCTTTTCCCCTCCCAACATAACTGCAAAACTTTTCAGGGAAGGAAAAGATTTTAGAAGAAGGGTTCACCTGAGCTAACCTCCAAAGAGAGAAACAAGGAGCAAATGTGTTCTGGAATTAACCTAAAGATCTTCAGTGTGTCTCAGCATCAGGTACAGAAGAACTATGTTATGTCGCTGCAGTATTTCCATCAACCCTGTAGAGTAGTCATTCTTGTACCCACTTTAAAGAGGAGGATAATGAAAATTACAGAGGCTGTGTGCCTAAAGCCACACAGCTAGGAAGTGGCAGAGTAAAGATTTAATCCAAGGCTTTTCTGACCTCACAGCACATTAATTTAGCCAAGCTATGAGTAGACCTCACTCTAACAGAACATGAAAGCAAGCCAACAATCCACCCTAAAGGAAGCCTGATATTTTATTGGAAGCTACCCCCTGCCTGCTTTTTCTCATAATTTCCATTTAAAATCTTTGACACATTGAGAGTAATGCGACTTAGATGATTGCTGAACGTAGCTCTACCAGTTAACATTTATAGACAAGAGGATTTTTCTATAAACATCACATTTTCTCAAAATTATTGGAGTAGAAAAATAAAAGACAAATGTTCGATAATCAATAGGACTCTTGCATTAAAATGATAACCTCCTAAAAGATACGGAATGTTAAAGAATATGCCAGTATTTCATCAACTATCTGAAATATCTACAAATAGAAGTACAGTGATGTGTCTTATGTGACAAAAAATCAAAAGACTTTAATTGTATTTTTATTTTCTTTGAGGCTTGATGATTTTCAAACTCAATGAGGTATTCATAGATGATTTAGAAATGTATTTCTAACCGAGGCAATTTATGGAGTTAATGAATTAAAGTTTTTTGCAAGACTTT